TTTTCTAATTATAATTTAATATATTGTGCATGTATTATATTTTTCTGTGACGGCAAGACATATTTTTTGTTTTGATTCAGACCTCAAGACAAAAAGTATTTATTATCCAGTTATAAATAGTTATTTCAATGAATACATACTTAAATTTATTGTATTCAAAAAAATTGTGTATGCCAAATGTATATAAACTAGACAGGCAAACAGTCTTCCAAATCATGATAAACAAAACTTCAGTTCCATTGTTTATAGTTACCTGAAGGTATATATATATATTTTTTTTTTTGAAATAAATTATCGTTACATAGAGAATATAAGATGCATAATAAACGTATATGCTAAGAATGGATATGGAGTGATTTATTAAGCATTACCCATTAGCGATACCTATCTTAATTATTTGTTTTCTTATTATTGTTTCCTTTCATGTTAATTATTAGGAATACAGATTATAATGATTATACAAAATTATATAYAATATCGGAGTCAATTGTAAAAGCGCGTATAAAAGAGGCTTGCTTTCTCATCGATAGTTTTCATATTAAAATCGTAATTTATTAGTGTTTGGTTGGTGGGTCGAAGAGATGATAGAGTGCTATATTTTGAAACGTTTGGATTCTTTTCTGTGCTCCAGAGCTTTAGTCCATAAAGCCAAAACGGCTTGAAGAGAAATTCATATATATGTACTTTTATTTTAAGATTGGTGTTAGTTTTTTAAAATTAAAGATGACTAAACATACGCAAACGGACAATAATAAGTATCARTATTTTAGYACAAATGTAGTTATTCCATGTCAACCGTCTGTCTAGATTGATTTCCAACTTTCCAAATWCTTAACTGCATTGGATGTGGGGATCTTRTTGTAATTTAGAAGTTGGTCAGATATTCTTTTTTATTGGAACGTTACGTGGATTGACTTATTTTGTTTGATTTTAATTCGCACTTTGGTATACTATTTAGACATTAGGTTAAGATGAACCAGCTATAGCTGTAAAAATGATAAAACGTAATGTGGGTAAAGAACTACGTTGAGGGATAGGTACTACCATTAATTTTCGAAATTCCAAAGCTGGATTGGATGTGGAAATGKTGGCCAATCAGGTAAGATTTGAATAAAAGAAGAAGAAAAAATTACTTAGGAGTTAAATTTGAAAGGTAATATTTCGTACTAGTCTTGGTGGAAGGCAGAGACAGCTAGAAAACACAGGTGCAGACGGTGCAGTAAAGTTTCTCTTCAAGTAATATGACATAAAAATAGGATCGATTTTATGAGCTTGATGTATCATTCTATGAGATTCCTGGAAAAAAATCGGGCTTGGGAGGATGTAATGAATGGCAATGTGAGATATTATGATTTGTATATAAGAATTTGTATTTCTAGTATTTTTATTAAATAATATATAGAACTATTCAGTAGTACAAGATCTTTTTATTTAATCAAGTATGRCAAGTATGACTAGACTTATATTATTATCTAAAACTTAAATTTAAATACAGGTATTAGATCAGCTAATGTATGTATTATTTAATTTATTTAATGATTTTTTTCTTATAACATTATGATAATTTTAATGGAATGAAAATCTTTATTGTACATTCAATAATCATACGATTATTGAGTATTAAATTACATAATTGTAATTAAAACATTATTCTCGGAACTTTTTAATAAACTTATTAACTTAAATTATCGTATAGTTTTTATTGTAAATTAATTGATATTTTAGTTTATAATTTTAAGCAATGTACACATATAAATATTTACTTAAATCTTTCAGTTCAGTATGTATGCGCCGATATCGACACTCAAAATAATATTAACTGTTCAAACGAAAGTTATATAAGGTTAAGGGTCTGAATAAAACCTAATGGTTTAAGGGTAAAGGTCTGAGTTGATTGTTGATATTACATAGGTATATTTTTAATAACGGACACATTATAAAGCATAAAGTATTAATATAATAAAATAATAAAATTTATATTTAACTTTAATTTTTTTCTAAATATTTATTACCTATTAGTTGTTTCAAATTAACTGTAATACGAATACCAAGTAATATTTATTATTATTTTAGATTCTAAGCAGACGAAGAGCTTGAATTTTCAACTTTAGTATAATTTCTGATAAGAAATTGAATGTARTTTCTTCTCTTTTAAAAGGTGAGAGTGGGTTGAAAAAAATAGTGCTTTTCTTAATAATAATTGGGGGAAAAAAATATAGGAAAACAGTAATTTCAATATATATTAAGTTTTTGACAAAATTAATTTTCTAAATTTACTTGAATATTTAGAATACAGGGTTCCTCATAAGTAGTTCATAATGGAGCGAAAAAATCTAAAAATCTAATATAAACACAATTTTTTAGAGACATGTTAAGCTTAAACGTCGATGGAATTAAGAATTTATCGAAGATTAGGAATAAGCCTATAAAGCCTAACAATATGAAATGTATGATTTTTTTAAATACAAAAATTTTTAACCAACAACATTATTCATTCTACTTATCAATAATTATTACTTTTATGTATATATATATATACCTATATATTAGTATTCCTTGTTATATCTATAACATTTATTGAACAAAATTATGCTATGCACATTGTTATGTTTATTAAATTTTAAATGTGAAATAATGAACTCACGTATTTTACATTAACACATCTCTTTTGTGTTACATAAAGTGATTTAAATTAAAAATATGATTGATGTTGGTATAAAACAATATATATAAATAGTAGTTACYAGATATTAGAAAGTCATAATATCGCCTCTAAATTGACTCGAATAAAATATTTTATAAATCATTGTAGCCTGTTGTGTAGAACTCAACGCACAAGAGAAAAAACACATAGTACGTTTTTGGAGCTTATCGGTTATGCCGAAATCCACAACAGGTGTCTCATCGTCTGCTTTAAAGGWAGGCGCGGTGTTATGTTATAGCAGACGATGAAAAGTAGAATATYGGCGATCGTTGTACGAGGGAAATATCTATCTACCACCCACACTCGAGTAAAACCACTTATAACGTGCCACAGAGTTCAAACGATAATATTTTCATATTAAATTAATAATGCATTATATTTTACATTTTTTTTATCAACATTAATTGGTTGGCTTACAATTTAGTATTTACAAGCTTACCTAATATATTATATAGAAATTGCCTCTATTTTTGGCGATTCTTAGTTAGCTTTTTAATCTTCTGCCCAAGGTCCAACGTAAATATCCGTTCATGTCTACAGCTCCATCATTCAAAAAATAGTTTGGACTGCAAAAAAAAGCAGAAAGAAAAAATCTTATCTATGACAAGCGTCAGTTACTGACTTTTTTATTTATTTAACATGAACATAAATATATAATATTTCTTATTTTATAAACCATGACATATTTAATATTCGAACATTTTATTGACAATCCGATTAGTTACAAATTATGTTAATAATTATGTTAGGTATTAATTATTATTAATAATGTACCTATCTAAACTTAACTGAGCTGTAAAAAATAACTGTTTCAGTAGAATGATTATTTATTCAAAGTCGTCTGTATGAAAAAGCGTGTTGAAAATTCTYAATAAACAAGTACATGTAATATGATACATGAACCATGATTGTTTTTTTTTTTATTTAAAAGTATTTTTAAGTAACAAAGTAAAAATATATTGACTTAAAATAAATATTTGTATAGTAAGAGATAATATATTATATTTAATTAATAAACAAAGACTTCTGTAAAAAATTAAATAAATAATGCTCTAGATATTCTTATAAATATTTATTTGGAATCGTTATATCTTATTAGGTATGTTTATATTGTTATTGATTTTTTCTCAATTTAAGTTCTTATTTATTWACTCCTCATTGGATTTTATTTCTGTCCAGCATATTTGAACTCTACATTTTAAAAGTTTCCAAGAATTGTTAATCTGCTTCATAATTAATCTACGAAATTCCGAAGACTAGTTAGTCGTTACCACGTACTTGCATTATTTACGTTTATATTTTTACAAATATTAACATYAACTCCGGCTTAGCATAAAATCGYATTATGTTTTTATAGTTCTTATTTTGTGTATTTTGTATATCACATGCAGATATTACTCGCGAAAAAATGGTCAAATTATTAATTTCTCGGAAAATGTCTACGGTCGTCTAGATAGACAAGCGTATATAGAGACTATACTATAGACTATAGACACTATCGAAGAGTATTACAAGCAAACGAGCGTGTATTTTCCGAAGAACGTTGGTACGAGGAAAGAAGCAATAAAACTCATATAGGTGCAATAACAACACAGCTATAACAATAATATTATAATGTCAACCTATCGTATTTATTATTATTATGCGTTTCGACCGCCTCTGTGGGGAAATCCATCAACCCCGGGAATAATTGCAGTATACGACAAAACCCGAGAGTCAAAAGGCCCGTGCATTTTACGACGGCACGCGCGGTCTGAAACATGAATATTTGATGGTTTGTGTCGAGAACGTTCGACCTAGCTGTAGTCGGCGGCTGCAGCGGGTGGGCACCACACTGTTTACCGCGGTATACGACGAGTATTTTCTCGGTTGGGCCGGCGGATCGGTGCAACCGCGGACCGGCGGCGACGGCGCGCGACGTACCACCGGCAACCGGGGTACCCGTACCACGTGGGCGAACAGTTCTCTGCGTGTCGTCGTGCCGGTGTGTCGCGATTGTTCCGCGCACGAGAGTCGACGGCGCCGTACTGCGTTCGACATCAATTTTTTCCGAATATAATACAGTCCGGCGTTTTGACCGCGCCGTAGTTAGTTCTCGAATATATATAATATATATATGTGTGTATAAAAAAAAAACGATCATCTCAATAGCTAATATTATTATTGTTGTTTTGTAACCGAGTTATATTACGAACTGTGTACCTACTCGTATCGTGTTTTTATCCAGGATTTATTTTTTTGAAATTAACTTTTATAATGCAAAACCCGGCGGAGATGGATTGTGATTGTTAAAATAAAAAATTGTGACAAAAAAGGTAAAATCGATCATATTTTGATGATTTTTTTTTGTTGCTAATAACATAATATATAGGTAGGTAGTAAGTACTAGGTATTACATTATACCCTTCTATTTTAAGTTGTATCTGGGACCAGTGAGACCTATGTAGATTTACGTAGGTTTATAGGTATACCTAATTGTACAATCTTGGTAAAACATAGCAGGTATGTCACTTGGATACTTATAGCTTTGATTTTAAAAATAGATAAATAAGTAAATTATGCATTTATGTGTAGGTAGGTACATTCAACTTATATTATTTTTATTTTGAACTGCTTTAACTTGGTAATAACCAAAATTTATTTAGATTAATATTATATATAYATAGGTAATCATTAAAAATTTTAAAATACAAATTATTCGATAATACAACCCTYTAACGACTTAAAATTTTATATTAATCAGCAATCATTATCAAATTATTTCATGGTCACTTAAATTTTGAAAAATGTATTGTTAATAGTCATAATATTACCTATATTCTCCATTCGGATGAGCAGTGTAAGAATACCACGATTAATCATCGCATTATTTGTATTGACTGTAGGTACTTATGTAAGATATAAATCTTAAATGTATTTTAAAAATATTTCATAATCAAATAAAATTTWTAGAAATATTATGTTAAAATTCAGCTAACTGTTCTTTTCAAATTTCACTAAAATATATAACTCCTTCTATAGCATCAGTTCACTCGAAGAATATTCAAGTATGAATATAATGGAAATAAACATAAAACAATAACCGAGACAATAACTTATCTTTACGTGTTWTTYTAAAATGTTTTACTTTAATAATATTGTATACATTTTGTAAATAATTGTAATATTCTTAAATAATATGGATTTTCACTCTCATAGTGTTGTACTACACTGATAATAGATGCTTTCGAAAAATTGTTAAAATATTAATTCTTCATCCAGTCTCAAAATTTTATGATTTTATAATAACCTTTATATGCCTGTATAAAATTTCTTATTGATTCTATGTGTAAAAATGAGCATTGTAAATTGTAATTTAGGAAATAGCACTCCATCTTTTTAATGTATTGTTTGTATTTTATGTTTATGTGTACCCAAAATCTAAATACTTTATTTTTAATTTAGAAGGAACCCTTGAGTATTATCGCACACTCCCATTATTGTATTCCCATAAGATACATGCATCATAATTTCCATGGATTTGTTTACCACAATACCACATTGTTATTACCCATACATATTTGGGTAAGATATATAAGTATTGAGCACAATAAAAACGTGTTGAGCCTATTTTGACAGGTGATCGACTGAAAGAAGAATAACCTTTAAGGACCTTATACATAAACATCACGCGTGTAGTTAAACGGAAAATGAGGTAGGTACCAATACAAAGGAATAAGTCTATTGAAATTKTTTGAATTTAATTTTGCTGAATAGACAAGAGAAATTAAAGATAAACCATCAATAATAAATATATATTTGACACATACCTATAATAAATCGAATACAAAGCCCGAATAAAAATATTTATAACTAACACGTGTATACCAATGGTTTTATGTGTTTCGATTGTTTGTCTTACATATAATTGTATATACATAATGCATCTGTCGACTGCCATATATTATGTATATAATAAATATATTTAAAAATAAACAAAGGAATAATATACCTAGTTTTCTTTAGCAAATACAAATTTATAAATAAGGGATATACTAGGTAATTACTTTATAATATAACTCAATATTTAATAATAATTCTTTACTGAATTTGATAAGTCCAACTTTCCATAATACTTGTAAGAGGTAAGRCGGAGACAACACGTACGGGTGTAGCACTGTAGCGTCCTCTTGACGCCGGCCGCTGGTGGTGTTGTATAGCGTCTTATCAAATACATATAAATATACATTTAATAATACGTTTACCCGCAATGTTTATAAATAACTCTTTAGTCAATACTGATAATAATGTCTAATTACAGTGTTGTACTGTCGTATTTCTAAAGTCTAAAATACTATGAAATATGAGTAGGTACCTTTAATATAACCAACCGTTTTGATTATGGAAACCGTCATATCGATAAGGTTCATTCGACATTTACATTCGCGTATACCCRCGAATCATGTGTTATTATATAAGTATACGCACTTACAGAAAACAGAGAAATGGGTATACGCCCCATTACAACACGTAAATGTACAAATAAATGTTCATTACAAAATATCTATGTATAATATATTTAAAGATACAACAATACCTTGAATAATTGAACACCATATTATAGAAACGATATAAAAAAATAGTAATAAAATATTAAGGGTATGTTTATACAATATTGTTAGATCACATTTTTGAAATGTAAAGCACAAAGTAATTRATCTTATAATAGTATTCTAAGAGGTATAAAATTAAATGTTTTACATTTTATTAAAATATATAAACATATATTAAATAACCAACAGTTTAATTTTACATTAGGCAGGTCCCATAACAGACAATAGTATATTATATTATTATTTGCGAGATTATTTGGTAGTCAAATTCTGTTGTTTGATTATTTTTAATACTAAATATTTAAATATATCTTTTCTTGATTAAATTCAAGATTATCAGCAGTTAATAAATATCCCGAATATTTAATTTTATAATACTATATTATATTCTGCTAAAAAGTAAGAACGGTCTCTATTAAATAATTTTTTTCCCTATACCACTGATCCCATATAATCTGATATATCCCTAGTGACTTGTATTAAAATAAAACATCTTAGTTTTGAAACTTAAATCTGAATCAAACAGACATTTATCCCATTAGGTTTGACAAAATAAAGTTTGTTAAATTAAATATTAATTTATTATATGGTGTTTATTATTTATAAATGTATATAAAACTGTATTGGTATAGGTACCTACTTACAAAGTTACAAATGAAACACATAAACAGTTGAATTGTTAAAATCTGTTCAGCATATTATAATATTACATGTAGATWTACTGTGTTTAGAGTTTAAAAGGAAAATTGTTTATTAATATTTTCGAGATACATTAAGTGTAGTTGTGCAAGTATAAAAAATTATATAATAATTATTTTTATTTAAATCTAACTGATAAATTAATGTACTTGTTTAAAAYTATTGACTGTAGTTGAAACTTAAAAAAGATTTTTTCATGTTTTCATACCATATAATTTTTAATTTTTTTTGTAAATAAAAAACTAGCAATGTAATATAATATATTATGACCAATAACCATTTTAATTATAAGTCTACATCGAATTTTCAAGTCCAAGAAATTTAAATTGCTCCTACTTTAACAATAAATGTATTCTAAATATTTTTAAAGAAATGAAAAAAAGGTATTCATTTCAGTGAAAAAGACTCAAGTTCCCTGCAATAGCAATAATTTTTTAATTATGACAATAGTATAGCCAAAAATTATATTTTAAATTCTGAGAGGAGCGAATGTATTGATTTTACAATGATGTATTTTTTAAAATTTTTTTTTTTGTGCTTGTGTACACGATAAGTAGTCAAAATAATGCYTCGATTTTTAACTTCAATATCTTTTCAGGTGAGAAAGTAAATCTAGTTAGTGGCGTTGGTGCATTTGGGAGGTCAAAATTTAAAATCCTTAGTAGGTAGTTTTAAAAATCGTCCAAAAAACCAATTTTAAAATGTACTTAATACAAGTTAAATACATTTTACTCATAAATTGTTGTACGTGAAATTCATACGTGAATTCAAAATAATTTTTTGAGCATTTGAAGTTCAACTCAAACTTCAACTCATTTATGTAAAAATGCGTTAATAGATATATTCAAATGAAAATAACATTATGATATTATTATAAAGTGTTTTAAAATTTGTTTTAATACAGAAAATGAGTCATATACCTAGGTATTATAGGTATCTCTACTCCATGACTCTATGAATATTTAAAAGATGTTTTGATCAAAATAAAAAACAACAAATTTGTGTGCACTGTTATTATGCTTATTTGTTAAAAATATTAATAAATCAAAAACATCATTATCTTTTAAAGTTATTAGAAACTAATATTAAAGTTCTTAGTTGGTTCTATATTAAAGGTTACGGTAATTAGTCATTCTTAATTAACATTAATGATCTCATAATTTAAAGTGTTAACAGAATTTAACTAGTTCTAAAACTGCATTCTCTGCATGTTTCATGTCGGCGTGTGAACGACTACACAATATTACTAAATTACAATATGACGTCATACTCATAATCATACAATGTGTCCATGTGGTCCATATAATTACATCAGTGTAACATGTGATTATAAAAAAATGTTTATATTATATACACTTTATACATATATAAGATATATTTTTTATTCTACAGGACAACAGCATAAACACAGATGGGGTACATCACAATTCTCTTGCTATATTGCTTATCAAGTGCAACAGGTCACTTGAATGTGTTCATCAGTCAAAAAGAAGTCAAAAGGATTATGGGTTAGTATAGTTTACTTATCACCATTTTTTTTTAATAAAACGATATTTGATATAGTTTTAATGGAGGTTATATTTAATTGAATTTAGAAACTAGTTGTAGGACTTATTTATATAAGATAATATTTAGTACGTTTTGTTCAAATTACAATCAAAATTAACTTAATGTTCAGTAATTCTTATGTAATGTAATGGTATAATATTATGGTTTGCATTCATATTATAAAAAATATTACAAAGGGTACTTATTCTATAGATTACATAGGTACTCTTATAAACTAAAAGTTCAATGGAATATGGATCAATGTATTTAGTTGTGTTGTAAGGAATAACACGATATACAATTTGCATWATGATTCTTTTAGTATAGCCCTTTAGAAATAACAAGCAATATTATCCGTCTTTAAGGTAGCCATTTCATCAGTAGTAATATATTACTACCCATGCTTGTTACGTATACCTACATGGTTTATCAAGTTATTGTTTTATTGATACCTTTGAACACAAATAATTGTTTTATTTTTAATACATTATATTACTAGTTAATGCATATAAAATATAATCTATTTATTACAATAACTAAATATGTCTACGCATTTCTCATCTAATAACCTAACTAATGGTCACATACTGACATATAAAAATGTAAATACAAAATAAAATTAAATAGAAAATATTTAAAATCAAATGAAGAATTTATGTTTTGTATTGAAATATTTTTATTTTATACATTCATTATAAATCTAAATTTTAAATAATATTCAATCAATACATAAAGCTTAACTCTAAAATAATCGTAGTTTATACATAATGTTATACTTTGTGTTATAAACACTTAATTTTAAATATTGAAATATTTTCTTTCAATAAATGATAATTCGTTTTATTTGTTTGTGTAATATTTTCGTTAAAATTACGATTGGTTTTTTATTCCATTTCTTATTTAACTACATTTCGTTTGTAAACGTTTGTATAACAGCACTTTAATCGTTGTTAGTCGTTTATATTCATTTTTATCCTTCTACTGCAGTATTCGTTTTTTAAAAAATATTGCAATTTTTATTTCCTAAACGAAGTCGTGAGAAAAATGTCTATACTCCCCTTATTCGAAATTAGATTTTGYCGCCGTCGTTGTCTCCATTAAACTTGGTGGGCGCTGACAAAGAACCCTTTTACACCACTAGCTATTACATTGGGTGTTTGACCTTAAAAAAAATAAAGTGCCTTATTTGAAATCTCAAAGCTTTTTATGTATAAAACAAGACACCTAATTGGCAACTCCTGCAGTATAGAGGGTGAGTTATTCGTGAGCCAATCGGAACAACGCAATATTACAAAATTAAACGCTACGTAAAAAGGATGGAAGTGGGAAAAGATAAAAGTAAAGTTGATGAAGAATTAGATCATTCCAACTTTTATTCGTTACAAACGATGAATACCCCTTATTTAATCGCTTCACAAAATAAGATAGGTAATATATGTATTTTCTTCACAATTTATCTTTTATGAAAATAAAAATATTTATGTTTTAGATGAAAAAGAACAATATTAATATTATAAAAGTTAAAAGTTTTACCCATCAAGTTTTATTTTTAGAATCTTATAAATAATTTCAAATTCTAGTATCTTAGAATTCAAGGAACAATTGATGTATTTTTCAAAATCACAAAAATTTGAAAATTATTTCATAGTTAAAAATGTATAAAATTTTCAATTTGTGAAACTTAAGGATTGAAATTGTAATACATGATTCTTCATTAGTAGTTAATACTGTAACCAAAAAATGTATAAATTAATTAAAAATATTTTATAGACATTTTAAGTTAAGTTTTTGATGAAATTATAAATATTTTTTTTTTAACTACGATTAACGAATAACGATTCTAATTATTTTGTTATAAATTAAAAATATTATTCGTGAGTACTTGAAATTGTTAACGTATGTTAATATAATTTATAGATATGAGGACATTTTTAAAACCAATATTTTCCGTAGAAATCAAGTCAACCTTATTATCATTTACTGGTAGGAAACTACGTATATAGGTAAATAGGTATAATTTGTAATATATACGTATCCTGATAGACCATCTAARCACTCAGATTCGTTGTTYATCGACTTTGACATGCTTTAAAATTTAACAAATACTATACAATGAATTACTGTTGGCGAGTTACACTCGATATAGTTGACACCTACTGTCGAGCAAAACGGTTATCTCGATTCGCTTTTTTTTGTTCAATGTTTTCTATTTTTTCTTAATAGTTCTAATGATCTAAGTAGAGTTTTTTATTTTTTAGTCTTTGTGAATTTTAATTAACATGTTTATTTCCATGTCCTATGTGGTGTGAGAAAGAATTCAAACTTTTTGATTGAGTTACCGGAAGATGATTTTAAATGTCCATGTGCGGAGTCCACGACAAATGTCTGTCGRAAATGCCTTCAATAATTTTTACTGAGTTTCTGTGTGCAACTTTAATATTGTCATTGGTTATTTTTAGAGCATAATCATTCCTATTTTTGTGAACGTGGTGCAGCTGGATTTTTCTGGAGTGAAATGAAACCCGGGTTTTTTTTGCTCAGTTTTCTAAATTAGTTGATATTGTTTGGAGCAGGCTTTGTGTTGTGTTTTTACATTTATTTCTGCACTAGAAATTGAAATCATATAAATTAAATTTAATGGGAGTACGTAATTTTCGGTAATGCCGTTGATGGCAAACAGGAAGAGGGACACTGAGAGAAACGAACCTTGGGGAATTTGGTTTTCTATCTATTTTGATTGAACTCCACTCAATGCTATCACTTTTTAATATGAAATATTTAGGAAGTTGCGTTTTTGTTGAAATTGTGTTGATTAGAATGGTAAATATTACAAAGTTAAATGTTTAGTTAGATGATATATATTTAACAGAAGTTGCCACAAATTCAAGATACAAAATTATGTTTATATTATTACTAGGATAATCCGATTTTAAGTACATAGCTACACATCCACTTGCAAGAAGACAATTAGTTCTATTAAAACTGTATTCTTTATAGTTATTTAGTGATCCGGTGTTAAGGTTGTTGGAGTTTGTTTCTTGCAAACATAGGATTTATGTGTAGTGTTCTGAAATTAATGATTTCAGTTCATCGATTTTTCTTTAAAAACTATAAATGTTTCACTGGAGAATTTGATGTTATTTGGATTCGTTCTTTTTTTTTTTTTAAATATATTTTTTTATAATAAATGTTTACACTATTCTAGAGTGGAATCGGTACCTAGTGTTACATCAAGTAGAGAATTGGAGAGTCTAGTGAGTCTATTTTTAATGCTTAGATTTTTGAACTTCGATTGGACTATATCCAAGATCTCAATYATTTCCATGGAAGATAAATTGAGAGGTTTAAGCTCACTTGATATGTCTTGGACGCAGAGTGAAGTTTCAATTTGAGTTAAGTAAAACTTATTTTTAAATCAAGTATTTTTTTGAACGATGGTTAAGCAGATTTTAACGACTTGTCTAGTTTTAATATAATTTGTTCAATGGAGTTTGAACGTTTTGTTTCCTTTGGGGGAAGTTGTATTGTTTTGGAGGCTTTTGGGGCTATTTCACTTTACGGTGGGGAGTTGGTTACTTTTTTTCTTTGAATTTGGAATCTTTTAGTTTGGTTTTTAGTGAACTCTTATTGGTTTGGATGTTTTCTGAGTTGGTGTTTGCTTGAGGTATGATAGCTAGATTTTCTGTAGTGATGAGAAACTGATGAAGGGCCGGTCTTTTAACTTGTTCCACTGAGTTCTGGGTGAGAGATGGTTCATAGGATATTATGTTGGATTGGTTTTCGATATTAGATTGTTGAGTATTGTATTCTGTGTCATTCATTCCTAAATGGGACTTGGATGTTAATGTTGGGAATTTGAAACTTTATTTTCTGTAATATTTTTGTAACGATTGAATTTGTGAACAGTTTGTTTACAACTATAGCTTATTACAGTGTCGTCTAATGAAAAAATACGGTATACGGTTTGTTCAAATAAAATAAAAATTGAACTAGGAATTTTATCATTGTCATCTGGGTTTATATATAGTTGTCGGAGGAAGCTTTCAATATGTCCATACTTGTAATTAGCGAAGCCATCTTTTATAAAGGTGATCAGTGATAATATTTTAATTGAAACATTGGCGATAGCGTTTGAGATAACGTCGTGAAGTATAATAGGTCGCACGTTAAAAAGAATTATTCTTTTGACAGGATTAATAAGACGACGAAATGTCATCTTTGTTTTGTTAATAACAATGTACGACTATTGAGTAATTATTTGATCAACAATATTTTTGTTTGAAAAATATATGCAAAATCTATTATTTGAAATTCGTGAGGCAAATCTTACATTATTCGGAGAAGTTAATTGACTGAAAGCTTTAATGCATTCAATACTCGTATAGGGTACATCTTCAATAGTGTTGAAAAAAATTGCTTGGTTTTTTTTGGAAAATACACGTTCGCAGTAGTTTCAGCTAATGTTTTGAGGTTCGGTAGTAAATTATCTGGAAAGTCTGCAGATCGGTCTCGTCTATATTTGTAAATATGGGGTAAGACKTGTTAAAGGTACTTATGACTATGGGTGATAGCAATATAACTATACATACCTTCTTAATTGTTGATCGTTTTGCTTTACTGCTATCGGAAGCTATACAAATGAAATTAACGAGGACCGTGGCAAATGTGTGTATCGGTCAGTGGTCACACAAGTACTATAGTATATTTTATTGCATTATTATCTACAATATTTTCCGAAATATTTATTTTCTTAAATGTCTCTTTTTTTACTAATGAACAGCTAATATCAATTGCTTTATAATATTATATTCACCGTTGTTTTATGGCATATTTTGAAGTATATTAGCTATAAATTATAAGTTATAACTAGGGAACGGATTTGAATGCAAATCGCATTTTTTTCTGAATGTCTGAAAACATTGGTTTCCAAGCAAAAAGTTCATTTCATACATCAAAGAAT